TCCAGTCTCCACACCCAATTCAGAGCTAAGGGAACCAAGGCTTAGGTCTCACAGCTGGGACCCCAGACCTCAACACCCTCATCCCCAGGCTGCTCAGAGTTGAGGTCCAGAGAGTGTGTGGAGGCCAAGACTGGGTGTGCAGTGGAGAAATGACCCATGAAGACAGGAACCAAATTCTGAAAGAATGTGCAGGTCACACTAAACCTGGTTATCACCCGGGCCTCACAAAGCAAAGATAAGACTTGTGGGCACCGCACCTTACCTCTGCTCTGTAGGACAATGAGGAAAACGGAAAACTGTAAAGAGAGGCCAAGAAAGGAGGCTCAGTAAAACGCAGACCAAATACAAGGCTCTGGGATGAGCACAAGAGTGCAGGGTACAGCCCAGAGTTTCTCCCAAATTGAAACTGGACAGATAACTGCAGAAGGAAGAAAAGGTAGCTTAGACATGCGCATCTGTGGTGTGTTTAGTATCTTATTCTCATAAGGGAAAAAGGAACCATAAATAACTCCCAAATGTCCATGGCTACAGTCTGCCTGGTGTCCACACCAGCGCTGGATACAGAACTCAATGCAATTCAACAAAGATTTGTCACACATCACAAGTGTATGAAAGGCTACGCCCAAAAAGTACTTGCTTGCCACAGAAAGAAATCATAGAAGAAAATAGAAATCGTTTTTATTACATAAAACTATGAGGTTTCTGTAACACCAGAAAGATAAGTGGCTACTAGTTACGTAAAATTCAACTTCACTAACGACTACAAATTAAAGTGGCTACTTCTCTTGCCTAGTAAATTTTAAAGACTTGGATCCTCTCTGATCTCTCTCTTTAGAGGCTAGAGCTAGAAATTAAGTAGAGAGCCTAGAGACCTCACTCTGAGTAAACAGTGGCTACAGAATTGAGGGCTCATTGTCTATCAGGGCAATGCAGAAGAACAGTCGAATGAAGGCAGGAAAGGGACCCACTAGACTGAGAATGTCGTTTCCTGCAGAATAACCAGTACACAGATATCCTCACTTCCCCTTACAATGGCCTTTCCAGAGATGCAGGGTCACCTCCATTTTGGAAAATGGGGCAGTAATAAATTAAAAATTAAAAAAGAACTTTCTATGGTTCAATCAGTAAGTGGCAGAGACATAATTAAACCCCATGTGTTTGTGTTCAGGGCCCTTGCGTTATCAAACAGTTGTGTATTTCACAATGTAAGTGACTCTTAGGAACCCAGCTCTGTGAGGAGGATGCGTTCCACTCAGGGTCAGATGGGCCCCTCAGCATGCACAGTGTCTCCACAGAACATGTCAGTGTTCCTAAAAGATCGTCATCAGCTGCCAGGTCCCAGCTTCTCCACTTAGAGATTCCCATGCTGGTACAGGCAGTCATGAGAATGCAGTGGTGTTCTCGTAGGTAGGAAGGATGACACAATCTCCTTGAATAAGAAAGTCTTTGCCCACAATTGTTACGTTTCTAAAACACAAGCTCCCTCATGACAGACACTATTCCGCTATGACAGTCAGTGGGAAGTGGCCTTGGCTGCAGCCTGGCAGGGTCTGTTACAGTAAGCCTTCATGCTTTACCGTGCCTTTCAAAAACCCTTCGCCAAGTAAAGTAAGCAATATTCTTCTGCAAAGCACTCATTCTTCTGCAAAGCACTCATTTGAAAAGCATGCCTTCTTCACGGCAGGAATAGGACATTCTTATCATTAGAGGGTCAAGACCCAGATAAATATCCCCAAACAAAACTTATTTCTCATGGTTTTCCCTGTCATTTCCTAGCACTCGGAACATATAGCCCAAGCCTCTTTCTTATCTTATAGAGTCTTCATAATATATAACTCTTGGGTAAAATGGGATATTAACCCTCAGACTTAATAACCTCTTATCTTAGTTTTCTTTTCTAGCACTGTGATAAAACACTGTGACCAAAAGCAACGTAAGGAGGAAAGGGATGATTTCATTTTATAGTTTCTAGTCCATCACTAAAGTCAGAGCAAGAATTCAAGGCAGGAACCTGGAGGCAGGAACTAAAGAGGTCCCTGTGGAACACTGCTTTCTGGCTTGCTCACTCACGGCATACTCACCCATGGGTCCTTTCTTACACCACCTAGGATCATCTGCCCAGAGGTAGCACCACTCACAATGGGATGAGCCCTTCCACATTAATCACCAAACGAGAAAACGTCTCACAGGGTTGACTAAAGGTCAGTGTAAGGCTTTTTCTCAGTGAGACTCAAGTGAGATATCCTAGCTTGTGTCAAGTTCACAAAAAACTAACCAATACACCCCTTCTTTGAGAAATATGCGTAATTACTTTAAAAATCAATTATAGTAATTACACATATTTCTCTATACTTCTTTATTTCATAAACATGGATACACACACATACACACACAGAGAGAAGACATAAATTATACATGTGTGTGTGTTTTATTGTGTAAATGTATAATTAATCTATATATAAGTTACATGTGTGCATACATACACAGGAGAAAAACATGCATATATGCACACATACACAGAAAAACTGTGAACATTACACAAAATACCTATGCTACATGTGCTGTTCTCCCACTAAGCTGCCCCTTGACAGTTTGATCATCAGGCCAGGCTATTTCCAATACCCAACCAGGTTCAGGGTGTTGCAAAAAAAAATTCATTAAAAACAACAAGAAGCCTATCATTTTCTGTTTGCCACAACACTGTTAAAAATCAATTATAGTAATTACACATATTTCTCTATACTTTGGAAAGAAGAGAGGCTGAAATCAAATGCAAAGGCCAAGCTTGCACAGAATGTGATCCTCTTGTTTGGAACACTCCACCAAGTAAGTGTAGCTTTTAAAAGATGTCACAGGCTACCAGGATCCTCAGGGACCACCTAGGACCAAGTAGGTCCAACCTGCACCCAGGGGCTGCCAGGTAGCCCATCATGGCCATGAACGTGATCTGGGCATGAACATGACCCAATACATTTACAGACCCCCACTATCATGTTGCACAATCAGAGTTACCACTAAAAGAATAAAAGAAAAAATTTAAATGCCTCCCATTGCTTATAGATGGCAGAGATCCAATAGTATAAGGACCCCTGAAGTCACCCCTGGAACAGTTATAAAGTATGAAGACAGTTTAAGATGGAGATCGGAATCCAGATTCACTCTGTCCTTAACTTTGAGTTTAAGAAACCCAAGACTCTTTCCCTTAAAAGTGGAGTTGCAAACAAGCACAGTGGCCCTTCAGGGCTTATGAGAGAATCAAAGACTGAGGGTTCAGAATGTCGTAACTAACTCATCATTACTAAACATCAGGGAAGCGGCAGCAATACACATCCGTACCCCTAAGTCGTTCTCATCCCTACTCGGTCCAGTAGCAACCTGACAAAGTACGTGACTATTCTGATCTTATGTTGAAGAAATTAGTATTCAGAGAAGTGTAACGTATCCAAGGCGACACAGGTGACAAGAGGCAGAGCCAGAATTTAGATGAATGTGATTGATATGTTTGATCTTTATTCGTCTTCATTCATGGTTAGGGTTTGAAGGCAAATAAGGAAGGGCTTCTGGCAGGACCTCTGTGTGAGGAACGACAGGTACAGCATTAGATGAGATCTATGTGTGCCCTTGGATCAGCACGAGAGATGCCTTGAGGGATCTGGGGGTATAGCCCTGTGCCCAGACACATGCTTAGTATTTGTAAAGGTTCAATTACCAGCACCGCACCAGATCACACACACACACAAAGACAGAACATACATGGCAGGGGAAAAACCAAAAGAGACAGACATGACCAACAACAGTACATGTCAGGCTCCTCGGTTTCCTTTTAGCAAACGGTGCAAATAGATAGAGATGATGACGTGACCTAGATCCAGTTCCTGTGAGTTCAAGTAGCATTCCGTGATATCAATGGATTACTTCCTCCTGACTTTGCCACCTTTGGTCATGTCCTGGAAAGTGCTCCAAAACAAACAGCAAGTTCAGGGAAGTTACAGGAAGTGTCTGCTGCCTCGCTTCATGCTGGGGAAGGATGACTGAAACAAATGCAACAGCAGCCCAAGACTATATCAAGTGCTACAACACACGGGACCGTTCTCTGTGTCGCCCTTGGTCACACAGCACCTTCTCCGGGCTGGAAACCAAACACCTTTGTTCTCTCTCGGGGATAGGGAACCTTCATGCCACTCATGTTTGGATCCATGAAGTCAGACCGGGTAACTGAATAACTGCCGTAAGGAAAAATCAGAACTAGACGGGGAGTGAACTTTCCCAGTGTGTTAGAAACAAGTCCTCCCAGGGAAGGTCCTCACCAAGTAGGTCCACCCAAAGTCTTCAAGCCTGTGGCTAAGTAAGGCAGGCACTAAGAATGTGGAATGAACCAGGACTTGAAAGAACTCAGCAAAAACAGGGCTGGACTCTGAGTAGGTATTGTCTGTTCACACGTGAGCCTAAGAAAGTCAAAGGTTCTACCTATTTCCATCCAATGAACTTTTCCAATTGAAGTCCCGGCACCTGAAGCTAGTTCCCCAGAAAACTCATCCCTGCAGGGCTACCTGTGGACCCAGAAGTTTATGCGTTCCCAGGAGCTAAGGCTATGAGCTCTCTGCACCATCTTCCCCTCTTCTCAAACGCTGTGCCCCTCACCCATGCTGGGCCACTGTTTTTCAGCCCATGGCCCCCCACAGGCCGCGGGCTGCCCTGACCCAAAGCTCAGAGCACCCTCTGCTCCGCCTGCTATACCCATCATTCGGCACGCAGTCGCGCGCTCCCTGCCCAGCTCCTCCTTCCAGGCAGGAGCCAGCCAGCAGCAGTGCAGGCAAGCAGTCTGTGCCCAACGCACATTGCACAGTCTCCCACCCAGATGCCTTGGCCAAAGGAACAAAAAGGAAGCCGACGCCAGGAAGAGACGGGCGGGCTGAGGATGCGGCGGGACCGCGGCGGGCTCCACGCCTCTGCGCACCCAGCAGGCGGAGCTCGCATGCGGCCCACAGTCGAGCGGTTACCTTGAGGATGCAGGCCATGGCGCTATGGATCGACCCTGTGGCTCGCTGCACCTCGGCCCCGCAGCTGGACCACTCCAGCCCACATTCCCGCAGAGCGAGCCGGGCCGCGGGAGCTGCGCGCTCAGGCCCCACCCCCGAGCCCCGCCACTGGCTGGCGCCACACGAGGCCCCGCCCTAGTCACGTGCCCTCCGTGCAGCCCGCAACTGCTTGCTACTCTGCCGCTGCTACTACTTAGCCTCACCCCCCACCACCACCCCCATAACCCTTCTATAGATGAACGTTTGCTAAGCCCGGCTTGCAGCAGACCCAGATCTGCGTAACCTGAGGACAGAAAGCGGCCCTTCCAGCTGCACTCGCCCATCAGAGAACCTACAGATGTGCCAGTTTCCAAATAGTTTTGTTTGGCACCATCCCGGTGTAGGCATGGAGCCCATCACAGGATTCTTCGAAAGCTGCTGGAAGAGCCCAGGGCTAGCCCTTGGCACTGCAGAATTCTGTGGTGTGCTTCTCTTGTCATGACTGATTGGCTGTCAGTTTGAAAGCACCAAACAGCTAAAGATGCTCAAAAACTGGACACTCGAGGTCTCCAAAAAAGAAGCCATAATCATCACACAGTGTGGCGTTGTGCACATGTGTAGCATATGGGCACATAAACATATGCAGCTGTGACTGTTGTATCCTGTTGCGAGTTGTTCATAAAGTGCCTATATACATAAAAACACAGTGTATAAAGATAGTGCTCATATGTGTACACGTATGTACAGAGTATGAGACACAGGACTTTGCTACTCACTACTACAATCTTGGAATTTAGAGAACTCAGTTAAAATTTCAACAACCAAGTTACATATTAGCTTTCCTCTTATGTCTGGATATCTAGGAAGGTCCTTTTCAACCATCCACCCTGAGGTGACATCGGCAAAGAGGAACCTTGTTCTCTCTGGTTCCTTAGTGGACTCTCTATGCGTGACAGACAATAAGGAAAGGCTGCCTTCCAAACCAGCCCTTCGAAGAGAACGAGCATTTCTACAAGGAGAGGGCATGCCCAGGGCCAGGAAAAGTCTGTAGATGCACACATTTCTGCCACCCAGTAGTCATGGAAGTCTTTAAATTACCCACCAAAACATCTACCCTAAAGTAATCTCCTCGGCAGACTAGCTGGCCTGCACAGCATCAGAAAAAGCATGTGATCTGAGAGTGACTGAAGGTCATAAGATAGCTCACACACAACAGACAGGAGTTGTTCATGAGAAATGGCATGTTGTTGCTGAGGGCATTCAATACTGAGAGACCCAGGAGGAATCACAGGAGAGATACTGGAGAGACTAGAGGCCGTTCAAACTGCCTGCTCCCAGGCAAGCTTTGTCTCCAGGGCAACTGTACTCTGTTCTGTTGCCATTTCCTCCCATCCCTCCCTCTGCCTTCAAGGCAGATGTATTTTATAAGTACCATTTGATGGAGATCACATACTTTAAACTGCAGCCTTAACAAATGGTCTTAGCAGGTGTACTGGCTAGTTTCATGTCAACTTGACACAAGAGAGAATCACTGGAGAGACTCAACTGAAAAAAAAAATGATTCCATGAGATCAGGCTGTAGACAAACCTGTAGGGCATTTTCTTATTTAGTGATTGATGTAGGAGGGCCAACCCATTGTGGATGGACTCACCCTGGGCTGGTAGTCCTGGGTTCTGTAAGAAAGACTGAGCAAGCCATGAGGAGCAAGCCAGCAAGCAGCACCCCTCCATGGCATCTGCATCAGCTCCTAATCCCAAGTTTCTGTCCCCTCCCCAAGTTGCTTTTGGTCACGGTGTTTCATCACAACAAGCAGGACAGCAGGACAGGAAAACTCAGCAGACTTATTTCTTTGCAGCAGGACATTAATATCACCAGGTGTATGTGGAGGTCAGAGAACAGTTTCTACCAAGTGGCCCAGAGATTGAACTTGGGTTGTCAGGCTTGGGGACAAGTGCCTTTGTGCATCGAGTCATCTCCTAGACCCCACATTCATTCACTCACTCATTCACTCATTCATTCATATCAGTTTTTATTCATCTGATTAGCTGAAGGGAAAAATCTTTAAGTTACTATAAGACCTTTCAGAAATAAGAGATTACTTTTTGTGGTCTGTGATATCTGGGTAAGATCATAAATCATAGTGAAGAGGAAAAGATGAGAGACACACGACACAGTAGAGGCCTTCCCCACCCTGGAGCAAACTGCTAACAATGAAGAAAGATCAACATACATACAGGGTGACATTGTATAGATTGAATAGGTTATATTTAGGAATATATGTATATACATACATGCATGTAATAGCAATTAGGTTTTAATAAGAGGTCATGAATTTGAAGAACAGGGAGAGGTATATAGGAAGGAGTGTAAGGAGAAAAGAGAAGAGGGAAATTTTGTAATTATAATCTCAAAAATAAAAAAGTATCTCTTTCCAAGAATAAGATGTAGAGGAGGAGGAAGAAGAGGAGGAGAAGGAGAAGTAGGAGAAGGAGAAGGAGAAGGAGAAGGAGAAGGAGAAGGAGAAGGAGAAGGAGAAGGAGAGATGAAGATGGTTTGAGCACATCACTATCTGTCCAGGAAAGCTGCACTATACTTGGAAAGGCCAGCGGACTCTGATGAACAAAACTGATGGGCACTTCCTTGCTTGCTGAACTTAGCCAAGCCTCTCGGCCTCTCTAATCTTTGTGTTACAGTCTGTATGTTGAACTCTGCCTTAGCAGAGTTAAATGTGAGTTTATTCACCTCAATTCCCACCACAATGACCACTTTTAAATGATAAAAAGCTATTCAAAGAATCAAAACAGGGAATACCTCCAGTCACCCTGGGGGGCGGGGGTCTCAGAAGGATGCTGCTGCTGAAGAGTTAACACACATGATTGATTGGCAAGGATTTGGTGAAGGTTCTCCACCCATGTACCCTGATATGGCTTTTTCAACTGAACATCCACCCACTCACACCCATGCTTTCTAATGTAGTACTTGTCTCTCTGTGTGTGTACATGTGTGTACACGCTCATGTGTGCATACATGTTGATGTTAAGTGTCTTTTTTGATCATTTTGTACCGGTGGTTCTCAGCATTTCCTAATGCTGTGACCCTTTAATACAGTTCCTCATGTAGTGACGACCCCCAACCACAAGATTATTTCATTGCTACTTCATAACTGTAATTTTTCAAATATCTGATATGCAGGATATCTGATATGCAACCCCAAGCCCCGCATGATCCACAGAGGTTGAGAATCACCAGTCTACACCTTAATCTTGAGGCAAGATCTCACACCAATTCAGTGAGGCCATCTGGCCAGCAAGTTCCAGCAATGCCTGGTCTCTATTTTCCCAGAGTGGGGGTACAAGCAGGCACCACCATGCCTGTCTTTCTATGTGTGTTCTGAGGTTCCAAACACTGGTCCTTGTCCTTTTATAGCAAGCATTTGACTAACTACGCCATCTCCCCAGCCTCCAAATGTTAAGTTTTTAATCAACATTCATAGGTTATGACCAAGAATAGCAAGGAGTAGTGGTTCACTTACTAAAGTCAAAAGTAAGAAGTGCTAGAATAAACCTAGACTAGAATTTTACAAAATAGGATTAACAACTGCTGCTTTGAAAGGACTACAGTAGAAAAGCTTTTGGTTAGAAATAAAGACAGGTTCCGAATCTGCCAGAAAATGGAGGAGGTATAGCCAGATTTGTAGGAGGTGGGTAGGTAGGAAAATGTAGCCAGGATATTTTTGTTTTAAACTGGGCCAAACATCGAGAATAGCTTAGGCTGGTCTATAGGTATAGTCTCCAACTTCTTAACTTATGTAATTTAATTCAAAGAGCACCTGTTTCCAAAATTAATAATAAACTGTAACCCCCTGCCATCAGATGTTCTACCTCATTTGACCCTCCAGCACCACTGGAACAGGATATTGAAGTTAGAAGTCAGCCATCTTACGTACCACAGTCAACCGGCCAGTGTGTGGGGAACTCAGCACTCTTTGGGCTCACAACATCACCTTGAATTTGCTGGGGGGGGGTAACCTTGAACTAGTGACTACACCTTCTCAGATTCTCAGATACTGGAACAGATAACCTTCATTTTCAACTTGGCTGGATTTGAAATCACCATGAATACACACGTTTGAGTCTGTCTGGAGCAGTGGTTCTCAACTTTCCTGATGCTGTGACCCTTTAATACATGTTCCTCATGCTGTAGTGACCCCCCAACCATAAGATTGTTTCGTTGCTACTTTGTAACTGTCATTTTGCTACTGTTATGAGTCATAATGCAAATATCTGTTTCCTGTGGTCTTAGGTGACACCTGTGACACGGTTGAGAATCTGTGGTCTTGAGGGAATGTCCAGAAAGGTTTAACCTAGGAGGGAAGAGCTGCCATGAGTTTGGGCAGGGCTGTCCTGTAGGATAGGGTTCCAGAAGAGGCATAAATGGAAAGGCAGGATTGGCTTCCAGTGCTCATTTCTGTTTGACTATGGATACAACGTGACAAGTTGCCTAGAGCCACGTACTGCCTTGGTCTCCCCCACACAATGGACTCTACCCTCAAACTGTGAGTTACAATGAACCCTCTCTTCCCTAAGTTGCTTTTTCTCACTGTTCTTTTTGTTACAGTAACTAAGCAACTACCACAGAGGTGCAAGAGACTGCCTGAGGCGACCACCACAGACACACAAGAGAGTCACAGGAAGATAGAGAGTGCACACAAGAGAGTGCAGATCAGAGACATCTCCTGCATTCTCAACCCCCAACCCCTGGGGAATACATTATCAATGGCCCTGTATGCCCCATCTGGGCATGCCCCTTCCTAGGCTTTTATTTTGCTGTGATCAACACCATGATCAAAAGCAACTTAGGGAAGAAAGAGTTTATTTGGCTTACACTTCCCTGTAACAGCCTGTCATCGAGTAACAGATACCAAAGGCCGGAAACCTGGAGATAGGAACTGAATCTGAGGCCATGGAGGGATGCTGCCTACTGGCTGGCTTCTCATGGCATGCTCTGCTTGCCTTCTTATTCAACCTGGCCCAGATGTAGAGCCACCCACAGAATGCTAGGTCT